GTTGGCTCATTTTCCCAAACTTTCCCATGAGGAGGGAAAACAAAACCCAAATTGAGAGGATGGCTTCACTTTCCCCCCTACTTTCCCATGGGCCAGGCAACGATTTCCCATGCCTGGACTTACCAAATATGGGAAAGCACAATTGATTTCCCATCCCCAAGTCTCCTTTCCCATGAACTAAACGGGGCCCAAGAACACATTAAGGAAGGCGTCCAGGTGCCTCCATTTAGCCAATCTCCATAGGTCAAAAAGGACACTAATATCACATGTATTCGCAGTTCCCATTGCAAAGCAACTAGCCAAACCCATAAAGATGGGTAAAAGGATGGTACCCAACAACCCTAGTGGCCAAAAACCTGGCCCAACACCGTGAAAAAGTGAAGGGAATATTGTGGGAATGGTGTTGTGTAGAGATTTCTAAAAACTCTACAACCAAACTTTGAGAGTATAAATCACCTAACATGCCATATCTAATATGAAATCAAAATAAGAGCGGAAGCATTAAATAAACTACGGATTCATGCAAGTCTCATTTGGTTCCAATCTTTATAAGTCTATGAAAGTGTGCACCAAAGACTCTCTAAATCCTATTTGAGAGAAAGATAACCCTTGGAGCGAATCTTGAAACCAAGAATGGTGTGCAAGTAGAGGGAGTGATCCCTTTGTTGTTGGCTCTCCCTTTGATGTTGATTCTCCACCTTGTAGCTCTCCAAATAGGTACAAAGATATGCACCTCCCCAAAGCTCTTCACCAAAGATTGAATGGGATGAGAGAATGAGTAGACAACAAGTGAAGAGTGGTGCTAGCACCTTCACTTGATGTGATAGATTCAAGGGGTTTAGGAGAGAGAGCTTGATGTTTTCTCTCTTCCAATTTCACCAACTTGAAAAACCCTAAGGTCATAGGATTCCATAACTACACACTTATAGGATCAAAAATTTCACAAGAGTGACAAAAATGCCTCCAAGCCCTAGTGTAGCCACACCCCTTTTTTGTGTGTCATCTTTTGCTATCTTGGTCCAACACATTAATCCTATAATGTGTCACATATGTGCCCAAGTCTATATGGTCAAATCCGTTTTGAATTTCCAAGTCATATGCGACCTTTAATTGAATAATTAAATTAATCTAATCAATTTAATTACTCTAGTGACTTAACTAATTTAATCACTCACTTGTCTAACGAGTGTTGGTCCCGGTCATCCTTAGTTGACCATGTCAAGTGTCGGGTCAACTATTTGACCTTTGACCTTTGACTTTTGACTTTGACCTTGACTTTCACATTGACTTTGACCTAGTCACAAAATCATTCATTCTCTTCATAATTTCCCAATCAATTCCTTTTCGGTGTACGATCTTATAGGTTCTAATTAGCGAGGCAGTGGGTATGAATGATTCACTTTGAATCAAGTGTGAATTGTATCCCTCCATACAATTCTCCCTATTAGCAGTATGTCATGGCTATCAAAGCTAAAAAAAATTCATTTAGAGAACCTAGTCAGTTTGTCATTACAATGCAATTCGATCCTTCTCTAATTCAATACTCTACGTCATATTCTCGAGATATGGTAAACTTGTGTCAAAATCCCTAATATGACATCTCTTGATTATATGATTCAATTTGATGAAATTGCAAATGTTCTTGTTTCAATTTCCATCCAATACTTTGGCCAAAGATTCATGAATCATATCTTTAGAGTATTCTCTCATCTTACTAAGAGAAGAGATTCCTTGTTGTACATTCACCTATCTCTGCGTACACGCTGAGAATCCTGATGAACACCTTTAAGTTACATCATTTTGATACGACTATATAGTGCTTTCAAAGAGAAATAACATATACACAAGACAACTGTGATGTCTCAGGTCTAAGGATTAATTTGCATGATCACAACTTCGAATTCTTTGTTTGACACTTGTGAGTAAGACTTCCATACAAGAATTCTAGAGTTGATCGCGTTCAGTGGACTCCATCTTCTATAGAGCACCTACACATCTGTCTCAGTGTTTCTACACGAATGACTTGAGACTAGTCATCCTCCCAATTGAGCAGACATAATGTGTACCAGTCTTTGAGGGTCACCATTGTCCAATTGGTGATCCTATGACCAGGAACATTTTAGGATACGATATTTATATGTATGGAAAGGTCTCGTGCATCTAACTTCTTTAGACCATTTTTCATTTATAGCTTAATCCATGGACTTGTTACTTTGTGTACGTCATGTATCTAAAGCAACGTTCTTGCCCCTTTACTATTATATATTATTTCCTTAGAATTATCCATTTTATATTGGCTTCTAGGGCATATATCTAACAAAAGGAGGATCAAAGCTATAAAAACCTTAGGTGATGAGCCACCCACGCCAAATCTTTGGACATCGGCCGTCTTCTCCTAAAGGTAAGGCTTGAGATTACATATTGGATGACAGAGAAAGCGTGAGGAAAGCCACCTCCACCGTGATCACCGACCCCCAATAAAGCAGCTTGCACCATGATCGTTGTTGACTTGGAGACTGTCGGCACAATAGCAGAAGCAGACCTGGTGAAACCACCATACCAAGGCAACCACTAAAGATGCGGACGCATGCACCGAGGAGAAAGAGAACGATGAAACCAACGCCTAGGATCTGAGAGAGACAACAATGAGGCCAGCTCCCTAGAGTCGAAGAGATGAGTGACGGCAGCGACTTGGCATGGAAGAAAAGTGACTCGACGATGTCAAGTAGAGGAGGGCAACGATAGCGGCTGAGTGTGGATGAAAACAAGCCTGGTTAGGACGAGGAGGAGATGACGGTTGAACATGAAAAACCTAAACCCTAATATTTGACTCACGGCTCTCCTCGCATAGCGAGAGTGCCATTTTTGTTGGTGAACTTATTTTGCTCCTGATTGTGGCCCTTGCACTGTGGAGGTCATGGTATCAATTGGTTCAAGATAGAAAAAGACTATGACTTGTTGTTTTTCTATGTCATCTTTATTCGTGTTCAGTTCGAGTGACATTAATGTTTTGTTAGATATTTAGCAGTTATTTTGTTTTATTAATAATCCCTATTTCTCAGGGGCTTAGTTAGCATTTGATCTATTTTTTCGGAGAATCCCATAAACCTAGGACTGTTAGACGTGGGATATTGTTTTCCTCATTTTCCTATTAAGTTGTTTCAGTAAGCCTATTTAAACTAGGTCTCTGATTTCATTCAATAACAAGTCAATTTTGACAAGTTGTTTACACGATTGTATTCAAAGCTTACATATTCAAATATCTGGTATCAGAGCTCCGTTAAGGGACCTGATTATCAAGGAAGCTGCAGGCTTCTCATTTGCAGCAGCAAGATCACATGGCGTCAGAGCACAATGGTTTTGTCCAACTAACAATCCCTCGCTTTGATGGTCACTATGACCATTGGAGCATACTGAAGGAGAACTTTCTAAGATCTAAAGAGTACTGGGGTCTTATAGAGAATGGGATTGCTAAACCAGTGGAAGGTATATTTCTAACTAATACACATACGAAGGTGGTAGACGACCAAAAGCTGAAAGATTTGAAGGCAAAGAATTACTTGTTCCAGGCAATAGATCATGCCATCCTGGAAACCATCCTCAAGAAGGACACTGCCAAAGAGATACAGGAATCAATGAAAAAGAAATATCAAGGCACGACAAAGGTCAAACGTGCACAACTTTAAGCTCTTCGCAAAGATTTTGAGACTCTTCACATGAAGGGAAGGGAAGGGAGTCAGTCAATGATTATTTTGCATGAACACTATCAGTTGAAAACAAGATGCGTATTCATGGCGAGAAAATGGGAGATGTTGCATTCATAGAGAAACTTCTTCGATCAATGACTTCCAAATTTGATTATGCGGTGTGTTGAGTTGCATAGCTCATTACTGGTACATGAGCAAAGAATGACTAGTCATGCTGTAGAGGAACAAGCCTTGAAAGTTGACATTCATGGAAAAACATCCACTGGGAGAGGCAGAGGACGTGGTGGCTTTCGAGGAAGAGGAAGAGATAGAGGAGCATCATTTGACAAGGCAAGTGTGGAATGCTATCATTGTCATAAGCTTGGCCATTTCCAATATGAATGTCCTAACAAAGAGAAGGAAACAAAGATGAACTTTGCTGAAACTGAAGAAGAGATGCTTTTGATGGCTTACAATGTCCTAACAAAGAGAAGGAAACAAATATGAACTTTGCTGAAACTGAAGAAGAGATGCTTTTGATGGCTTACATCGACAAAAAGGAGACTAACTCAGGTGATACATGGTACTTAGACTCTGGCTACAGCATTCACATGAGCGGTAACAAACTCTTATTCTCTGATTTAGATGAGACTTCTAGGGAGAATGTGAAGCTTGGAAACTAATTTGTGTCATGGAGAAGGGTAATATTAAAATTATGAAGAATAACAGCATGCACACTATTACTGGCGTGTTATATGTTCCAGCACTCAAAAGTAACTTGATTAGTCTTGGTCAATTACAAGAGAAGGGTTGTGCTATCATCATTCAAAAGGATTGTTGTCAAATTCTTCATCCACAGAAAGGCCTTATTGCACAGGTCAAGATGACAGGAAATCAGATGTTTCCTTACACACTCAGGCTCGACATGCTAATCAGATATGTCACAAATCAACAGTACCAGATCCTTCATGGCTGTGGCATTATCGATATGGGCATTTGAACTTTAATGGGCTAAAAACCTTGCACCAAAAGAAAATGGTGCAAGGACTTCCACATATTCAATTTCCCTTGAAGGTTTGTGAGGATTGTATCATTGGCAAACAACATCGTGACTCATTTCCTAAAGAGCGCACATGGAGAGCCACATAACCACTGCAGTTAGTCCCTTCAGACATTTGCAGGCCAATTAATCCCACATTGAACGCAACAAAAGGTACTTCATTACTTTTACTGATGACTACAGTAGAAAAACATGTGCAATACATATCTGTACAATCCAATTTGGGGCGAAAGAAACAAGCACACAATCAACGTAGCAACAAAAGGTACTTCATTACTTTTACAGATGACTACAGTAGAAAAACATGTGCAATACATATCTGTACAATCCAATTTGGGGCGAAAGAAACAAGCACACAATCAACGTTCTCCACACAAAAATAATTTTTGCTGGTACATGCTTGGATGCAGAATCGATGGACAGTTTAAGTTTGTAAACAGCTTTGACAATATGTAAACCTAATTCAACTGCTCAATCCAATCAAGCCACCAATGGTTCTTCCATAACTGCATATTCAAAAATATTGTCAAGCATTTGCAATTGAGAGAGAGAGAGAGAGAGAGAGAGAGAGAGAGAGAGAGAGACCTTTTTTCTTAGAGGCAACTTCGGTATCATATGCGACCGCATCAGGTGCATCTGGTGCTTTGGTTGGTACATCGGGAAGGTCCAACTTCTCATCTTCTTGAGGAGATACCACAGAAGCAGGAACTTTAGGCAGATCTTGAACAGTGATCTGAAAAAGGGAGGGGGAGTTTCAATTTTAGATGAGACAATATTATGTGCTATGCGGTGGGTGGCAATGTGCCAACATAGTGAAACCAACAAAACAATAGACAACCTAAAAGAAGAAAGTACATGCCATAATTTGATATATAAATAGTTCATCAATGATTTAATTGGTAACAGAAAATCTGCAAGATCCACTTTGAACACACATGAAGATCCATTCAGAGACCTCAAACATAGGGCCCAACAACAGTCATTGTAAAACAACAAAACGCCCACACAAGGAGTTCATATTCATCCTGTGTTTCGTTTGAAAGGTAAGAGAGCCACGTGGGTAAGAAATCATAACATATTCTTAATGTCAAAACCCCACCCAAGCATGGATTTGAATTAGACTTTCTTTAGATTTTGGACTAAAAACTAACCTCTTGGGGGATTTCTATACGAATTTTGCATCAAGTATACAATTAGTGAAAATCCATGGTTTGGATCATAGGACCACATTGTAGAATGGGTCTCACAAGAAAAGAACGGCATTTTTTTTTAAGTTATTGGGACATTACATTGTTGCACAATATATAAGGTGTGTATTTTTATTATTTTATTGAAAAAAACATCATAGACCATGTCCTGTCCATCTTTAGCTCACCCTCCACTCATTCCGACACTTTGCCTCCATACCAGAACCAACGTATGAAGACAAGATTTTAAAAGCCAAAAGTCATGAGCAAAGGAAAAACATCCAAATTTTAAATTTTCATTCTCCAACCTCGCCCCTTTGCCCTTTGCATCTCAGTGTCCCCAAAATAACTATAAACACAACCCAGAAACTAAAAGGGAAAACTAACAAGAACAAGAAGAAGACAAAAGAAAAAATATCAAGGAAAAATTTTAAATTTACGTATCTAATTTGAAAATGATATTTTTAATAGACCCTTTCATACTATTGATTTACGTATCTAAGTTAATGGACCCAGAAACTAAACCCTCATACCACAAGTTTGATTTCTCAAGAATTTCAACAAGGAGAGAGAAGAAGGTGAATAAAGGAGGGTTTCAAGAGAGTGAAGAGTCAAGTGAAGGAGAAGGAAACTAACTTTACCATTTTTTGGCTGAGAAAACTAACTTCACCGTTAATTAAGGTAATAGAGGGATAAAACACTGCTTGTACATTGCGCAACAATTTAATGTTCCCAATAACTCAATGAAGGAATTGCTTTTTCTTTTTTCCTTTTTTTTTTTTTCTTTTTTTGAAGCATGTAGACCTTCAGATGTTTTACAGTTACCGAACATCCCAGTTGCAAGTGACAAGCAAGTGGGATATGGCACTGCACCTCTTCCTATTCTCTATCTTAGAAGTCCTGCAGTAACACTGCTGGAAAAGGGATGATGAGATGCCAAATTGCAACGTTCTTAGGATAGGTGAGAATGTTATTAGAACAGAAATACCATACCTGAGCTTCCAAATTCTCAAATTCTGCCAAAACATCCTCTTCATCTTCTGCTGATAATTTCTCCCCCAAAATTGCATTAATTTCCTATCAAAATTATGATAGAAATGGCAGAATTTATTAAAAAGAACAAATTAAGAAAGAGAAGATGCTACTCAAAGATGAAGCTGAAGTTTAGATGTCATCATTGATTTATAATAAGCCCATTACAGCAATATGCACAAATGAGGTGAAAAACACAGGAGCAGTGAGTTTTTTATGAGATCACAGAAGCAATAAATAAAGTAGCTATCTCTCATCAAACAAGGAGGGGATGGAAAGTACGGCCATTACACGGTGGCTGACCATAGCTTATAGATATGATCCTTTACATATGGCTTATTTTCAGTTCACCATTCCATGGTTAGCATATAGATACGATCCCTTACATGTAATACATTTTTAAGAAAATCAATTCACAATGATCCATATGCAATTTTATTTGGAGACTGAAAACAAGAGCAGTACATAAGGGGTTAAACATAAGTGAAAATAGCAATAATATGCCAGGGTTTCCTCCACTGCTTGTGGGAACAAGAAGTACATGAAAACAAAACCAACATAGAGGTAAATATGCACTCACATCTTTCTGTATTTTTTTATAAACTAGAATTTGATGACTTTTTTTTGGGTGGGGGGGGGGCGGGCACACTAGGAGATTGGGTGAGCTGAAGGTCATGTCACTTTTCAACATATGGCTTATTTTCAATTCACAGCATGCCTATATATCCAGTGCAGAGATATGATCCTTTACATGTTCAACACCCTTTTTAAGAAATTCATGGTGCTTTTTTTTTCGGAAACTCAAAACAAGGGCATGATATCCTCCACTGCCTATGAGGAAAAGAGGAGGGAAACAAACTCAACCTAGAAATATTTCCACAACTCTTCATTTATAATAAAAAACAACAGCATTCCAAGCATTTCGTCTCCCATACCAAAGAAAGAGAAAAAGAAGGAAAACCTCAGATACTAAAGTACCCTTATAAGTGTCTAATATGAGAGAGAGAGAGAGAGAGAGAGAGAGTATGAATTACCACATAACCAACACCAGAAATTTTAATACTTTCTACAAAGAAAAAAAAAAGCTTCACAAATGGCCAAAAAGTGTTTCACAGAGAATCTCATTCTAGGAATGCAATCCAAGCAAGCTCAGTTGAAGTACTAAATTTTGAAGTGCGGAATAAATAAATAAAAACCAACAAAATAAAAGAGAAGAAGTCAAGCTCACATCTTGGTAAGCTTTAGCTTCATCAGTATCATCCATTAGCTTTTGAACATCCTCAAGGTTGATCTCACTTTGTATGGCTTTAATCGCATTATTACCAGCCTTCAAACTCTCAAATACAGCTTGCTGCTTGCTTGTCAGTTCAATATCTAGCAACTGAACCAAAATGTATAGTGGAGTGTCAAAATGTTTTTATCTTCAAAAAATATCAACTTCTAAGTAGAGCAGAAACAAACAGAACTAGGTCATTACTTGCTCACATGCAGTAACAAAATCAAAGCAATCTAGGCACAAATGTAAAAGTATTCAATGGGATGAAATGTTCATAGGATTAACTCTTACCAATGACCACAAAAGAGCAAACAAAATTGAAACAAACGAAAGAAGTTGCACGGTTGCGTTATATTACTCACCTGTTGCTCAACATTGATAACCCAGGTATCTACTTGCTTCAATAAGTCTTCCTGTGCTTTTTTCTTCTTTAATGCTAACAAAGCTCTTTCCTTTTTCTTTTCGCGAATCAAATCCCTTGCAGCTTGCTTTTCGGCTTCAATTACAGCTTCAAGCTGGAAAAGGTGGATAACAGAAATGGAACCAACATAAGAAATTATAACAAATGCTGTCAAAAATCATCTAGATATGTGAACCCAATTATTATCCTTCATCGAAAATTCAAACGCTTATGCAAATTCACATCCTTAATAAAACTAATTTTCTCCACTTATCAAAAACAAACAAAAAAAAACTTTTAAAACGCAAACTATGTTGACCATTTTCAACTGTTAATTTCCTGTTGCCCGTTTGAGATCAGAGCGCCAGTTTCCCTTTTCTCAATATTACCACTAACCAACGAGAACATAAACCAAAATTTTACACAGAACCCACAACAGAAATTTTAAAAAAGAAAAATCGCAATTCACAAAACGTGAAAGTATTAAGAGATAATTGAACATCAGAAAAAAAATAGTAATAACTGTACCTGTTGTTGGTACTGAGCAAGCTTGCGTCTCTGAGTCTTGAGAGAGAGAATAGCTCGATCGACCTCGGTGATCTTAGGCTTCTTCACGAATAAATTCCCCATCTATTCGTATATCATATCGGGTTTGCCTTAAATATGAAGAATTCTTATCGAATTATAACTATGTATATCTTAGTATCATAAAAAACTTTCTTCCAATAAACCAAACCCAAGATTGGGTTTGCTTCGAAACTAGACTTGAAGACGATGAAGAGGCTATTTTAGTCGGAGAGTCCTCCACACAGCAAAGCCAGTTGTGATGTTCGACTTTTGACCATAAAGTAAGAAATTTCTTTTCTATTTTTTGGGAAATTCACCTAAACTTTTAGGGAAGCCAGTTGGGAAATTTGCAAAAACACTGCCTAAACTTTTAGGCATATGCACTATTACACTTGAACTTTTAATTGTTATTTTTAACCATCTAAATTTTGTAAATTATTGTAATTCACCATCTATGTCTAACTCTGAAATTTCTGTTAAGTTTAAGGGTATTTTTGTCCTTTCATTATAACTAAAAATAAATGTGAAAAACAGAATTTTTTATATATAAAGTTAACCTAATTATACCACACCTTCTCCAAACCTTACCCTACCGTACTCTATATTTCTCTGTCTCTTGGAATCTTGACGTGGGTTATTGAAATTGAATTGCAAATACAGTTATAGACCAACCAAGCTCTATCTTGCTAATGGAATCACAACCCATTTCTTCTGTGACAACTCACAGAACAAGAAAATTTAGGCTTAAATCTCCAACTAAAAAGACAAAGATTTGGAGATCATAGAGGGCTTAACTGCTTGGTTATTTTTATGTTTTTTTCATTAACTTGCAGTTTATTATAGGTGTAAACCATGTATCCTTATCGTATAATGTATAGCCTGGACCTGGATTAAGGTCAGGAACTATACTAGATCTTCGGGTTGAGATGCTCTCCGAAAGAGACTTGCACACTTCAAACAGTTATCAGAATATGAGCGAACTAGGGTTTGTCCTAGTTGAACTCCCTCCGATGGTTAAGTCAGAAGTGGTTTGGAGGTGGAGAAAATGGATATAGGGTTTTTAAGGGGAGAATATTAATTACCTATGTCTTGATGTAGGTGGAAGGTATTTATAGAGGGGAGAAGGAGAGACTAAGATATCTTTAAGGAGGAGATATTTATTTCCCTTCCCCTAAGTGGGACTGAAGTCACATTAAATGATCTATTCTGATCACCATGCTACTTGATAGGGATCAGGTGGTGAAGCAACACGTGACTTTGGATGGGAGGCACATTAAATGATCCCTCTCCACCAGGTTGCCCACTAGGGATCAAAGGGTGAGGCGACACCTGGCCTTGGATGGGAAGTGCATTAAATGATCTCCTCCCATTGCTAGGTTGTTCATCAGGCGGATGGAGTGACTGACTTGACAGGGGTCCGATCAAGCCTATATGTCGTCAATGCGCCTCTGGTCATACACGGCACCACGGTGGTCGGGGCAATGTTCAAATGCCCGAGCACTGATTCGCACTTTGTCCCGTCAGCTTTTGGCTGGGAGGCCTTTTATCGACGCTTGAGGCATCATATCTGCTTGGGTCGGTATAAGGGTAACCCAGCCATGAAATGGCCACGTGGCGTTCTGTAATAAGCTCGGCTCACAGTGGTGGTATGATCCATTAACAATAGGCATGTCCATTATAAGGACTACACTTGTTTTAGAACTAGTTTGCTAATGGCAAATGTTTATGACCTTTTTGGGATATTTAGCAAGGAGTATGTAATACGAAGAAAACTGTTTCCTTCCCAAAACTATGATGAAGTTATAAAATTCAAGTTCTAGTCTTTGATGTTAAATTTTGTGAATTTGCTAGATATAGGGGAAGAGAGAGTAATTGCAATTTGATTTTTTTTTTCTTTTTCAAAATGAAAACTTTCATTGAATTGAACAACAAGCCAAGAAATGCAGGAAGGTAAAAGATTTAATGATAGGACCATGGCAATCTGATAATAAGTGGAAGAGAAGTGTTTAAATTTTCTATCTTATAACTTCTTCATTGTCATGCATTGCTTAAGTATATTCCTATTATTTTGTGTCAAAAAAAAAGAAAAAGAGAAGAAGGTATATTCTTATTATTATGTGAAGGAGAATCATACATTGTGGAATGGGAGGGGGTGAAAAGCAAGGGGGTGGCTACTGGTGATGTGTTCCAAAATAAATTTTGGTTGAACACTGATGCATAGGGTGGATTAACAGTAATGACATCTCTCTTTATTTTTTTTAAAAATTATGTTTTAAAATTATATTTTTAGTTATAAGGAACATATGAAAATACCTTTAAACTTAACGGAAAGTTTAATGGGGTTAGACATAAGTGGTAGATTGCAACACTTTACAAAATTCTGGTCGTTAAAAATAAAAATTAAAAGCTCAGGTGGTATTGCCGCACTTGCCTAAAAGGTCAGGTGGTATTTATGAAAATTTTCCTGGAAAAAAAAACAAAATCACATGTGCATACCTTGATTTAACGGAAACTTTAACGGAGTTGATGTAGGTGGTGAATTGTAACACTGTGCAAATTTTAAGTTGTAAAAAATAAAAAATAAAAGTTCAGGTAATAATGATGCACATACCCAAAAATTCAGGTGATATTTATGCAAATTTTTTTTTTTAAGTTTCAATTACAAACCTGTACATAGCACTACGGCTCATCAATGGGCCGCCCCGGCCCAAATTTAATGGGTTTGGGCTGGGCTGAGTCGGGCTTTAAAGAGGAGAGAGAAAATACCGAGTCGGATTTTATTAGAAAATTCAAAGCTCAAGCCCGACCCATGGGCTGGGCTTGAGAAAGCCCATTAGGCCGAGCCGGGCCAAAACGGGCCTACTTCAATCGAAAAAAATCATTAACTTAATCATAAGGGCATTTTAGTCCAAATTTGAGATTAAACTCACTTAATTCCAATATTTTCACATCAAACCAAATTCATAAAACACCCAATAAAGTCACACAACTTAATAAGATTTTCCACAAAAATAATAAACCAAGTATTATTTTTGAGGTTATTACATAATTAGACCGTAATACGTTTTAAGAAATAATTTAAAAAAATAATAAGTATCAAATTATTATTATTTTTTTAAAAGGATGGTATGTGATAGAAATTTTTAGTACCTGCACAAACAGGGTTAAAACTCCTATAAAACTTGCAACAAGGTTATTGTAGTATAAATGATTCTCGCAAGGTCGTTCTCCACAGGGATTATTAAATAACTCGTAGCAAACCAAATTCTAATTAATTATTGTAAAAGAGAAAGTTGAGATGTTTGATTTTAAGACCTTAACTTAAAACGAATTTAACTAATAAAAATAAAGCAATATGCAAAATTAAAGCTAAGAGCAAAAGAAACAGTTGTATTTTTAGCAATCCAATTAAGAAAGCACTAGGGATTTGTCGTCACCTTAACAATTCTATATAGTTCTCCCAATTACTTATGACCTATACATGCATATTTCAAAGGTTAGGTATTCCTAATATATGCCTACTTGGACCCCCAACATAGAGTGTATATCACACATGCAATTCGTCTGTGGTATTCAGATCAAATCTAAACATACATGACTCATTAAGTTCTGTGAAACCTTTTGAAAAACCATGCAACCCTTAAGACGTGGTATTCATCCTAAGTGAACTTGCACATATTAATCACAAGAAGCCTTCGTCAATTTCAGGGACCGACCTCCAACCAAAACTTTTCTAAACATCCTAATGGTGATCAAGCATCAAGACACTTAGATAGTTTAACCCAGTGATGAATAATTCGAAAACTTGCATGCATATCATCATAAGCAAATTGGACAGAGACTACATATTCTTGCTAAGGCTCGTGGCCTCACCCTAGCAAAAGAAAGTTAGTTACGCATGTTCAAAATTAAAACCAAAGAAAATATCATTCGAATGAATAAGAATAAAAACACCTTGAAGTAGAAGTTCTTCAAAAACCCTAGCAAAAGTCGCGTTCAAAAGCCAAAAGAGAGGTCCTAAATTTGTTGTGAAAAAGAACTTAAATACTTCCTAAAACCTAGCTGCTCAATCCCCACAAGGAAACTCAGTTGAAATAAGATAATACTAGGATATAGAGTCCAAATTGGATTAGGAGAATCTGCCCACAATCTGCCCAGCCACGTTTTGGCCTCAAATCTCCTCCAAATCCGGCCCAAGATAGATTGCTTTAAAGATAAAAAAGTTCTAAACACTTCTCCAGAATTCGTCCCTAAACCCTAAGTGACTCACGAACGTCCTCCAACTGGAATTACTCCAAAATTCGTCCATTTGATTATGTTTTGCTCCAGAAGAAGTCGAAAGTCCTATATTGGAAATATAATTCAAAGTATCAAAATTCTTCCAAAATATTAACCAAAATATACTAAGAATAGGGTTAAATATATAATATAAAATATACCCATCAGTATGAATAAATATGCAAATGTTTGGTGATATGTTCAAGAAAAGCATGATTATATTTCGTGGTACAATTATGTTTCGTGATATGATTATATTTGGTGATATGATATGTTGTTCATCTTATTTTTATATGTATATAATTGTTGTATTAATAATTGACACAAATTAATGTGCTAATCATCCAATTATAAACTAGGAATGAGTAAAGAAAAGTAAATGAAATGAAACAAATTATATATGTGAATTAAGTGATATAATTCTAATCCTAAACTCTTATTTATACATTATTATATATGTATGCGGGCCTAACGGGCCGGGTTTTTGTGGGCGGGCTAGGCCGGGCTTTCTTGGACTTAACCGGGTCGGGCCTATGGGCCGAGCTGGGCTTCAGACACCCAAGCCCAAGCCCAAGCCCAACCCAGCCTAAGACAGTCTGGGCCATCTCATGAAATTTCGCATCAACATACGTGATCAAAAAACAAGGTATAAAGGAGGTATTACAATATTGTACATCGAAGAATCCATCCCATTTGGTGTGTTTCCTTATGTGATTTGTTGGCTGGACAAGAAATCGTGGGGAAGAAGATCGAAGAGAAGGAAAGAAGAAGAAATTGAGTAAGTCCAAGTGGTTGAAGAATAAGTTGTACAAATTTTTTAAGTTTAATTACGAGGAATAACATAATAGTTGGGCTATCTAATGATATGTAATTTGATGAATATAATTTATATTAATTATAGAATTGACATAATCAATTTTTTTCCCTTAAGATTGACATAATCAATATCTTATTTAATTAAGTATTGAAAAAAATTAAGTAACATAAACAATTTTAATTATAGACTAAATATTTATGAGAGATATACTTAAGTCGTAATTCCAACCTGTGTGGGCCTGACACGTTTGCGCTACATTAGGTACAAATGAGTCGGGTTGAAGATGGCCATCGACACATATATCATGGAAGTGGGATCAAAGATGGCCTAGGACACATCATCTTTCATATTGGTCCCAACAATTTGTAGCAAAACCACAATACCCTCAATGAACAAGGACAAAGTTAGAAATTGTTTAGCACAAAGTCATATTACTACTATTACATTTGTTAATACAAGTCGCCGAATATAGATAGCGAGCAAGTTTCCAATTCAAGCCTAACATCCAAGACCCTCCTGATCTGCCCTCAAGTGCCACTGCCACTTCCATATTAATCAATGACCCCATCACATATATGAGCATCGTAAGCGAAAGAGATGCTTCAGAAGTGTTACCCTAATAAAGACACAAGGAAGAGAATGAGAAAGACTTTAGAAGATGAGACCTATGAAATTGAGTTGTAAAGACTCGGGCCTTTATTGACCCAAAAAAATAAAGACTCAGCCTTAGTTCCTAAAAAGGAAGTCAAGTTACATTATTCTCTAAAGTTTTTAACGTAAATGCTTTTTAACATGGCATTTATTTCTAGATTGTTTACTCTCGCAGATTTGATAGTTTTGTTGAGATGCTTTTTAGCAATTATATAAGTGCATAATAGTATAATATAGGTATTCAAGGAAGAAAATTACCAAAAGATTGTTGTAGGTTGTTGATGCAGTCACGAGAACCACCAAAAGTAATGGGCCCCGAACCCAATTCTCTACCAACTTGTGAGCAATTAATGCATAGTTGCTTGCATTAGAGCAACTCCAGCGAGGAGCCCAAGCCCGGGGTTGGGGGGAGCCCAAGCCCGGGGTTGGGGGGAGCCCAAGCCCGGGGT